TTTGCTTCTTTGAAGGTGGTGTAAGTGACTGGAAGAATCTTTTCACTGAAGATCAGAATGAGAAAATGGACAAAGTATTTGAAGAACGGATAGCAGGCACTAAACTTGGAAAWAAGTTGAAGTATGACTTGTACTGCAAAGCCTGAAGAGTAATGAAACGTCCTTAGAGCAAGAGCTTTCCAAGGCAGATTCAGATCACCTGAATGCCATGTACTAGAAAAATAAGTCAAATGATCCAAGCACCTTTGAATTCATGCAATAATAATTGAAACAGCCTTTACAGCAACAATGATGAAAAATGAGCTTTTGTTTTCTAGTGAGGTCATTGGCTACAAACGTTTGCTGAAGAACATGTCAACTAACCATATGTACAACCATATTGACAAAAAACTCAACAGCCCTGTTCCAGTAGCTGTCACTGGGAAGGAAATGCCCCTTTTCTTTCTAGCCAAATTCTGTCTTTCTAAACTACTTCCAGTTATTTAGAATGTAGATAATGTTTTTCATAAAAAAAATGTTTCAAATCAGGCAACATCTTCACAGAAAATATCTCCAGCAAAAATATGGATATTGTACCATCCTAATGACAGTGGATATCTTTCATGAATTCAGCAGGAAGTAAATCAAAGCTAGAGTGAGAAGAAAGAAGAGGAATGGGGATCAGCATTCTTAAGACTTTTCATCTCCCTGAACACAACTTACCAAGATGGATTTCAGATTTTGGGCTGGTGTTAGCAGGCAAGATTCACTCAGGGCACTGCTTTTCATAGGATCACAGAGCAGCCCAGGTTGGAAGAGACCTTGAAAAATGATCTGGTCCAACCTTTCATGAGAAAGGCAGCCTAGAAGAGACTCTATCTAGATATCATATTTTGAAAACCTCCAGTGATGAGGACTCTACCATGCCCCTCGGGTCATTGTTCCAGAAAATGCTTGTTCTTGCTGTAAGGAATTTACTTCATGTATCAAGATTAAACCTTGCCTGGTGCAACTTGAACTCATTGCCTGTTTTCTTCTTCATGTGGTGTCTAGTGAACAGAGTGCCTCTATCCTCTCTGTAGCTACCCTTTAAGTAGTGGAAACTGTGAGGAGGTTGTCCCTGAGCCTTCTCACCTTTGTGGCCCTCATGTGGAACCCTTCCGGTTTGTCTGTGAGTTTCTTGAAAATTATTATACTGAGACAGTSAGATCGTCAAGAGTGATTGTGTGAGACATTGCTATACCCAGCTCTATTGCACTGCCATTGGTATTTACCTCTTACCTCTCTGAACAGCATATTTCAGACTTGTCCAGGGACCAGCAGCCACCTATTCCAGAAATAAAAGCAAATAAATAAATAAACCCCAAATAAATAAGGTTCTTTAAGCATAGTTAAATTATAAAATGGAAAATCCACACCCAGTTTATAGATCCATCACCTAAGCAGATAAGACTTAAAAATGTATAAATGGCAAAAATATATACTATTAAATAATAAAATAGGAAAAAAATTTCGCTTCATTCTTCTCAAGCTGGTTGGTTGCGCCTGGACATATGTGGATATGCAGAGTTTTACAATGAAACAGGAACGGTGGAAGTCATACAACATTCAGAAAAAATGAATGAATTCAAAGGCAGAGCAGCACAAAGTCCTGATGCAGGCTGTCTTTGAACAATTACAAGTCACCTGTAGGARACCAGAAAGGTACCAGATGCCAGGAAGAGAATATATATAATAGCTGTGTTTGAACACTTGAGAGGGAAGAATCAAAATAGAGCTGTCACCTTAACTTGATATGTAGAAATGYACTAGAGAAAATGACAAAGCAACCAACTATGAAACTTTTTGAGCATAATAAAATAGTAAATATAAATCACGTCAAAGCAGTTTGTGTTCCTTTCTAAGATAACTCGCKTCTTGAGTAAGCCATTGACAGAAAATACAGAGGGTGATAGCGTCAGACRGGGCCTGATGCTAAGGCCTGATGCTATGTTATTTAAATGACATGGCAATGTACAAATGTGGTTATAGAAATGAAAGCACTGCATGTAGAGTTACATTCTTAGAAATTCATACAATGCCAATAAAAGGCATTCAGAAGCATTGTCACCACAGAAATACTTTCAGGAATATCCACTTGATGACCTGGGTATTACAAACTTGGTTGTAAAACTGTGCTCATGATCAAACTGCACATACTGGTTGACAGCAAAATTGGGAAGGTAATTAAAGCAATATCCTTTAGTGGCTGAGTCCTGGTCATATTCAATATTGTTTTTAACATTGGTGGGCAGACTGRTATCATATATTGTATCATTAATGTGTGACTTTTAAGTCTTGGGACCAGAATAGASTGATGAAAGTACTAAGGGAAAATGGCAAAACAATTTGAAACAAATTGAGAAGATTAGGAAAGACAAATTTTAGTAGAGGCAAGTGTAAAATACTATATTTAGAAAAGGGAAGCCAAAGGCCCAGTAGCTTGATGGGGATAAACCAATCAGGCAGCAGCTGGCATAAAAARGCCTAAGGAACCACACTCATGGTATGAGTATGGAACATGGTGGCAGCACTAGAAAAAGAGGCTCAGATCTTATTCTGGTCTTGCTGATCTGATGGCAAACCAGACCATAACCTGTTTCTGCAATTTGTCCTCTCCTGTGTCATCCCAAGGCTTGATTGGAGTCATTTTGTGCCCTTACACTCTCACTCTGAAGGTCAGAGCTATTCAGAGCAGTTACACCTCATGTGCTTTGGCTCCATCAGAGATACTCTGTGGGCCCTTGCATTCATTGTGGTAAGGAGGCAGAAGAAAGGAGAATGGAAAAGGGAAGGAAGCTGCCATGTCAGAAAATTAATATCGACAAGGAAACTTGATGGTTGAGTAACATTTTACAGTGAAAAGTAAGCAGAGATGAAGTCAGTGAGTGTGAGAATCAATTCAGAAAAATGTGGGAATCTTTTTTGAAGGTAAGACATAATTGACTGACACAGTGGCAGTGGCTTTCAAAATTTGTTACCTCTAGGTCCTCAGTAATTGTCAAAAAAAATGAGGAAAAGTAGCAGCTCTTTCTTTTTGGTCTAGTCTTTTTTGCTACCTATGATGCCTAAAATGATAAATGTCAATTGAAAAGGATGTTTGTATTGGATTTTGTCTATTGCTTTAGATAAAATGAAGAAACCAGAAAATTTCTATTAACCCATTTTCTCTCATGTCTTTTCCCCAATCCATTTTCCAAAGCAAAGCTAGGGTGAGTTTCTGGTTAAAGTGAATCTTCTCTCTATGTTGTACTGCAAATGCTGCTGATAACAGCATTTCTGTAGAGGACAGATTCTTGCAAGAAAACAGACACATTCTGCACCAGCCATAACAAGAGAGGCCTGCTAACACATTGGCCAGGTTAACGAAAATGAGAAAGGAAGAAAGAATTCTATAACGAGATAGGGAGTGAGAAACTCGAGTGATAGGGGCCCCAAGAAGCTTTATGTTTAACTATATGTTGCCAGCTTGACGTAAATAATGCTAGCCAACCATAGAAGTAGTTTTGCGGCATGAACGCCACATCAATAGTGCATGTAACCAATGATAACATATGTAGTCGCATGTACAGAAGATGTTTTAGTTATAAAAAGGTGTTAGAAATCGCAGTAGATGAGATAATGCTTGATTCACATGGAATTGTGCATAATCTTTTTTCTTCTCTATTTATACACATTTCCATCCTGGGCAGATTTTCCTCTAGATGAGTGAACAACTCAGAGCTTTCCCTGGGGATCACAGGAGCTGTTCCACACTCATTGCCCTGCTTACCTGGGAACACCTCAGCTGCCGGACAGACAGTGCTGGGATTGGACTGGGATTCCTGGCATACTCAGGATCCCTGGCTGCCCTGAGCCTCTCCAGAGAGACACTGCTCTGACCACTCACATCTSCAGCTCCTGAGCASACTGACAGATGGCTGTGACAGCATAGACGGCGCTGCTCATGGCAGAGATCAGAGTCTAAGGGTTAAAGGATGTGGAGGCACTTGTCCCCAGAAGCTGAGGTGACAGGGTGTTCAATTTCATGCTGAGGTTTTATAGTGATCTGGCTCTTCCAGGATTCAGGCAGCTGGCTCCAAAGAAAATTTCKTTGGCAGCTGGCCAGAGAAAAAAATGTTAATTTCTTGATGCCCTTACTATTTAGTATTGGCAAATGAGTAAACATACGGACTAAAAGCTGAAAACTGTAACGAAACAAAGCTTGCAGAAAGCATAATATATGAATAGGGTGTTCAAGTTTTATAAGTAAAATGGCTGATATTTTACTGATAGAGAAAATATTTCTAATAAAAATCTCTATCTCTCTGATTGAGAAAATATTTCCCATAAAATGGTCTCTTTTGAGCATTCTGCATTTTGGGAGACCAGAAAAATAATTTAAAATTATTCTTTGTAGGTACCTTTAAGCAATCTTCCAAATATTACAGTTATGATTTTGACTTGACACCTTCTCATGTTTAATTAATGTTGTGTATAGATTTAGTGAGTGTCTAACATCCATGTATAAACAAAGGGAGAAGGATGTGATGCAAGGGTTTGATATGTGGATAGTGAACAAGACCCATACTGTATTCAA